TCACAAAGCTAGCTTTTCATTCTTTTAGCAAATATATAATTACTGTACTATAGCAAAGTTTATCAATTCGGGAATTTTAATTAGTAGTTGCTATTTCTGGCTTTGCAACCTGCAGATATGGGGGCACCGCACACTCTAGAACCACATGGGAGGTGTGTCAGTGGTGCATTGTTCTGCGGAAACGCGGATCAGTGCAGGGGCTGCCGATGTCCGCGTTCTTCTGTTATTATGATCATTTCTGTACTTAAAAGCTTGTACATATTTGATCTCTGTAGCTTATTTTTATAAAAAATGCATCATAGGTATCACCAGTTATCTAATTACTTTGTAAAACATTTGGATATAACAAATGTTTTAACATTTAGTAGTATAACATTTAGCAAAAGGATAATTAACTGTTAGCCTTAATCTGGAAAATATAAACATGGTAAACATAAATGATATATAAATACAGCTCTTTGTCATGTGGTAAAAATTATATGATAATTTGGGTTAAGTGAAATTGGGTTTCTATGATTTTATATAAATTTTACATTAGTGAAAATTTGATTTTGTTAGAGTATCTCTTGTATACTCTAATACATTAAACAAATATATAGTTAATGCCTTTTATATTAGAATTTTTATTTATGAATATCGTATTTGGAAAAAGTGAACTGTAATATTTCTGTATGTTAATCATATTACTTGCCTCTACTCTAGGAAAAAAAGAATAATCTTATATAACATTTTTAATCAATAAATAATTCATATCCTTTAATGGGTTAATTTTAGGAAAACATAGATTGCATTCTTTCATTGAGATTTATTGCCATATACATTTCATATATAATTATTTCTGACACATGGCTATACAAGCCAATTATTTATGAATAATTTACTATTATCTTTATAATATTAAAGCTTTAATTTGTTAATATTCTACATGAGTACCAAACAAATGAAAGTTACTAATAAGTGTTTGTATTTGACATATGTATACTGTACTTTTTAGCATATTTCAAGTGTTTTAGTCCCAGCCTAATAGGTCTCATTAAAAAAACAGATATCAGCCCCGAGACAGTTTGTCAAGACTAATATGAGTCCCCCCTGGATTGGATTGACAATTTTTGTGAGGCTTCAGTATGATAGTCTTTTCATAGTCTTATTTGATCCTTAACAATAAGACATTAGTCATTGATTTATTTTATAATAACTCATATGAGTTGAATATTATTGTATTGTGTTGGACATTTTAGTGGATTTTCTTTTGTATAAATTTTTCTCAGAGCACACATTGGATGTAAATGGTGTGCCTAGCCTGCTAGGGGAGTACTAACAATTGATTGGTCGGGCTTGAGCGCAGCATGGGAAGAATGTTACTATCCCCTCGCTGCAAGCCGTATTTAACTCCAGGCTTAATGAGGACTGTCTGTCCTAAAGGCTCTGAAAAATCTCAGATGCTTAGCATTCCACATGCTTAGCATGTTTCTGTTGTCTGAGTGTGAGGGAGTGTGTATGTGTGCAAATGTGGATCCAAGTAAGAATTTTATATGAAAAATATTTTTTAAAAATCAGTCTCTGAAAAGGAATCTTAAAGAATGTTAATAGAGGCTTTTGTGATTTGTTGTTTCTGAGTCTCAAAAATACAATCCTGGGATATTCCACTTTTTAATACACACTTTCCTTTTTGTATTTTCTTTTTTTTTTAATGAGCAGAATATATTTATTGAGAGAAAGAAAGCTCCTGTCCAAGAGAGGGACAGGAGGGGGTTCCGAGCGGGTAGCTCCCCCTGTATTTTCTTTTCCTTAATTTCCTCCCACCTGTCCTTTCTTCGTCCCTCAAGGTTTGTGAAGGATGGATGGATGGATATATATATCCAGTTGCTTTTGGTTGGGCAACTGTCATTCAGTGACATGAAAGGCATGTTAAAATCCCAAGCTTCCTTGGGATAGAAATTATTTCAAAACGGGGAATTTTTTTAAAGCTGTCACAGTTACTCTTTTGGGTATCTTTTCAAAGCTTTAGTAAATTTTAAGGAACGCTTTCAAGTCTTCTAATGAAATTTTTTCTTTACTTTTCTAAAAATTAAAAGAAAACACATTTCATATCACTCTCTGGAATAGAATCTGCCAGGTAATTCTGAAAATTACCTGTTGATGCCAAAGGACTGACCTGCAACAGCATGTGTGGAGGGTGGAACAACTGTGTCATTACACGAGTGCGTAGTGACGTTCCTTTCAGAATGTTTGCTTAAAATTCTCAAGTGGTGTCAAGATGGAAAGCGTTAAGCATTTAAATCTAACCAGCCTCCCCATTTGGAATGTGCATAAAGAAGTAATCAACCATTAGGAAACTCAGTTCTTTGTTTGATGACACATAAAATAAAATTGCCCTCCTTTTTAGAGCTTTAATATTGAGAAAATTCATTTGTACTTTGTCATTTGCTGAGCCTTCTAGAATTTTATAGTCTCAAATCACAAAGCACAGACACTCAGGAGACTCCTGACTGTTTTATCTTATTAAACAATTTTGAAATCATTAATTTTTAATTAGCTTGGATGAAGGTTTTTTTATTGTTTCAATAGTGTGCGTATATGAACTAAATGTTTTTTATTTAAACTACTGGTGAGAGTATTATTTACATAAATAAATGTAAGTTCTTCCAAAGAACACATACTGTGAGTTTGCGTCATATGGTGACTCTTTCTCACACCACCAGAGATACTAAGTGTGATTCTATGATAGTAGAGCTTTATCAGCAGTTTATTAACTCTGATTTTTGAACAACCAAAAAGGATATAAGCTGTAAGATACGTGTAAGTCCCTCCCTGATTGAAAGTTCTAATTAAGTGAATTGGAGAAAATTAACTGAAATTAGCTGTCAGAAAGTCACATTTAAATGAGTGATGAGCTAGTCTGGCAGTAAACATTTAAATGATATAAATTGCCATTTAAGTGTATGGTTTAATGTTTGTCATGCATTAATGTGACATGAGACTGCAGTGACAATCAAGCAGCTTGCTCTAATTTGAACATATTTAGGGCTTTTGTGTGGAGTGCACCGCACACAAATTAAGACAATTGCTGTTTTTATGTGTCACTTAAACATGTCCCCCACTCCCTCCCATCCTTACCCAAGGCCTAAGTTAATGAAACAAACGTATCATTTTTGTGTGCAATTTGCACGGGTAGTTCCTGGATTTTTAGATTTGTTTTAAATCTGTGTACTTAAACTATGAATTTACTTAGGGTTTTTTGTTTGTTTACTTAAATGTAAATTTACTTAAAGTGACCCTTTTCTTATCTGAAGTAAAATATAACGTAGTTTTGTGCCATTTTATCTCTTTACTAAATTGACAAATGTAATAAATTTTGTGTTTTTTAGGGATATTTCATTCCACGTATACTTTGGAATGTGACAATTGTTCAGTGTCTAGAGATTTATTTACAGAATCATATTTTATATTTTACAATACTGTGAAACCATGTGAAATATTATTAAATGGGATGTACAAATTGTATTTTACTATAAACATTTCCTTTACTCATAGATACCTATAATAACATATTAACATAGCGTATGTTCACACAAGAGTATACCTGAGAACAACAGGCATATCTTTTGTCACTAGATGGTTCATACCTTCTTGGTTGTTCCTATAGAAGCAAGTCTGTTTGGAGCTGCAGGTGTAGCTCAGTGGTAGAGTGTGTGCGTAGCACGGGTAAGGCCCTCGGTTAAATCCCTTTCCCTCCAAATAAGACGTTGGTCAATTTTATTTTAAAACCTGTAGACCTGTCCTTCTAATATTTATTACATAGCAGAAAGCTATAACAAAAACATATCATAATCATACTTTGGACTCTAAAAATAAGAATTTCAATAAGGTATCAGACATACTTAATACATATATTCCCAGCTATAATTTACTATACTTTGATAACTCCTTGATTTTTATAGCATCATTTATTGATAAACTAGTTGATAACGCTAACAGTTTATGCTGGAATAATCTTGATAATGTTAGATAAAATGAAGATTAATACTTTCTTAAAAAGTTAAGTCTCCAGTTGTTTAAACTTTTTAGTTTTCTAAAGCCTAAACTACTGCATGCAGCAAGCATCTGTTGGTACCTGCTGTGCTTTGGGCAAGTGTAGCTCGGTGGAAATAGTACGAATAGAGTGAGGCTCGTGCCCTGCATTTCAGCTGAACGCTGATTGTGCTCAGTCATTATTTTTTGAGCACTGTTGTGTCAATAGCATAAAATATTTGGTTTGGTTTGATATTAACACCTAGAATAATAAACCAGTAATTATAATTATAAATGTCCCCTACAAAATCTAATTTGTAAGATAAAAAATCAAAATGGTATCTAAATACTTTGAACAGTAATAATAGGCTACAAAATATTTTAATTTTAAAAATTACAAGTATTTCAAGTGAACAGTAAATTTTTAAGGTTTTTCATAGTTGCGTTCCTAAAGTTTACTTTGCACTATTTGGCCTTTCTTTGAATCATAAATTGAGCACCTGTCAAAGCATGATTCTCAGATGTCACCAAGATAGGTCCCATTCTGGCTCTCCTATGCTAAAGTGTCAGCAATTACTATAATACAGCTTGAGAAATGCCCAGAAGTTTTTTCTTATATACGGAAAACAGATTCTGGCAGAAAATAAGATAGCAAGTTTTATGTGTTTATGGTGCTGGGAATTGAACCCAGGACCTTCTTCAGACTGCATGCATGTTCTGCCTCTGAGCTACAGCACTGTCCTGGGTTTTGTTTCCAGTTGAAGCAACTTCCTTTGTTGGCCTGGTTGGCCTGCAAGTCTCATTTGTGTAACTGGCCTCCAGGCGGCTGAGACTGGAAGTGCCGCCTGCCAGCCACCTCCTGGCTTTTCAGCGTTGTTTTGTTAATTTATTACAGAAAGTTTAGTGTTTAATGCTACTATTTGTCCTGAAGAGCTCTCTGTCTTGTAACAACAGAATTAAACACCATGGTGTGGTCTCTACTGTTTCAGGCTCTGGAGAGTGAATTTGTTTCCTGCCAGCTTCACCAGTGGATCGACCTCATTTTTGGCTATAAACAGCAAGGGCCAGAAGCCGTGCGAGCCCTCAACGTGTTCTATTACCTGACTTATGAGGGCGCGGTCAGCCTGAACTCAATAACTGATCCTGTGTTGAGAGAGGTAAGTTTATGACTGAGACAGGAACTGTGCCACCTTTCCCCTCCTCCTTTCAGTTCACTGCTGAAGACACTGAAAACACATGGGTCAGTGACTTGAGCTAGATGACCCGTTAGTGACTTGAAGAGACTTGAACCCAGAGCTGCCCTTAAAAACATGTTGGACTCAATAGAAAATAAGAGTGTCACCATTTTCAACCCCTTAAGGTTCCATAAGTTATAGTTACAATTTCTTCTTTCTTTTTTCATGTATTTGGTTGTTCCAGGGTCTCACTGCGCAGCTCAGACTCCTGGTGATCCTCCTGCTTTCAGCCTCCCCAGTGCTGGGATTATAGGCTTAGGCCACTATGCCCGGGCTCTGGCAGGCTCAACCTGCCCCGGGGCAGGGATTAAACTGAGGTACCTGCACTTGCCTAAGCTTGCCCAAGCAGGTGCTTTAGTGCACTGAGCTATCTTGCTGGCTCCCATATTTACAACTTTTATGATTCCTGGGGCCACTCAGATGATCCAAAATATTAAGAAAATAATAATTTATTCACTTAAAATATGATTTAAGTATAAATATCTCATTTATAAATAAAATATTTATATGTAATATAAAAATACATGTGTAACTACATAGAAGCTAATAGTGGACCCAGAGTCTGAAGCTGTCCTGTGACATCAAACTTTTTAGATGTTAATGAGCCTTGGTTTTTGTCATTTAATTTCTAAGATAAGACACTCAGAACACAATGTTGGTGAATATAGAAAATGCTACTCTTTTTTAGTTTTTCTAATCTAATACAAGTTTTAGAACAGAACTATGTATAAAACTAGGGTATTTGAATCATAGTGAAAGCTGTTTATTTTTTAAGGATACTTTTTTGTTTTGCTTCTTTTCTATTCTTTCTTTCTTTCTCTTTTTTTTTTTTTTTTTTTGGTGGGGAGTACCAGGGATCAAACTCAGGACCTTGAACTCACGAGGCAGGTGTTTATGCCACTGAGCTATCTCCTCAGCCCTGGATACTTTATTTGTAACATGTAAGGTTTATCATTTTTCATCAGATTTGATGCATTCCTTTATAGTTCTACATGTGACCTAATTATATGAAACTATGAGGAACATACTTAAAAAATTAGTGTATTATCACCTGGCTTATGTGATAGATAAAAGTCTGCAAACAAAAGCGGCAGTGAACAACAGAGATTTGGAGGACTGTGCTGCAGTCTTTGAGACATAAGCTCGTGCAATAGGACAGTAAATAGTAACTTCTTAGGTAGGATATTTGGAAATGGACATGCATCATTTAGATATTAGATATGTAATTGAAATATGGGTAAAATCTAGGCCAAATGGATTATAATATCAAGTAATATTTTTATTGTCATCAAATAAATATACCTAATGTAAAACTTATCAGTGTTGCCATTCAGTAGCATTAAGAATATTCCCAGAGTTGTGGGTGTAGTTAGTGGTAAAACATGTTCTTAGCATGCACAGAGCCCTGAGTTCAGAAGGTCCCCAGTGTATGTTGTTTGGGGGAATCCCATTGGTCTGCAGCCTCACCACCACAGTCTCTGGACATATTTTATCTTCTCAAATCAAAACCCTGTGCATTAAACACTAACTCTGTATTTCTTCCTCCTCAGAGTCCCTGATCTCTATGAATTTGTTAATCAAGGTGTCTCATATAAGTGAGATCCTTCATTATTTGTCCTTTGGTGTGAGGTTTACTTAGTATGTTTCTAAAATTCATCCATGTTGTAGCATCTGTCAGAATATTCTTCCTTCTAGGGGCTGAATAATATTGCATTATATGTGTATGCTACATGTTATTTCGCCATTCAGCCATCAGTGAATATTGTAGTTTGCTCTAACCTTTTGGCTGTTGTGATTATGGAAATGCCAGTGTGCACATATTTACCCAAGTCTTCACTTTTCAACTTTGTGCGCATGTGCCCAGTAGTAGAATTGCTGGATAATGTGGTGCTTCTGTGCTTCACTTCGTGAGGGGCTTCTGTACCACCTAAGATTTTTGTATTTTTTTTTTCATGATCATCATTTGTTAAAGACTATTTTAAACTTTTACTTTAAATTTCTTTGGCTTCCTTTTCCTTCCCATAATTATCAGAAAATTAAACCTTAACCAGATAATTTTCTAGTCATTATACCCATTTATATTTATATATTATTGTATATTAGACTTTTATAGTAGAGCATATAATGGATATATATGTACATTATATATTAGGTTCTACATTCAGTAAATAAACATGACTGGTGAAATCCTGTGTATGATACGTGTATGATATTCTTGAGATAAGAATATCTCTGAGGCCAAGTGTGCAGGTGCACCTCTGTAATCCCAGCACTCAGGAGGCTGAGGCAGGAGGATCACTGATGAGTTCCAGGCTAGCCTGGGCTACAAAGTAAATTCAAAGCAAACCTGAACTATATGCTGAAACCCTGACTCAAAAGATTAAAAAATAAAACAAAACAAGACTATACCTCTATTACTTAGCATTATTAATATAAATATGTTACTAAAATAAATATAATTTTTATTATTGCCTTTTCATACCATTGAGCAGAGCTAAATTATATAGCAGAATATGGTGTAACACAATAAATAAAAAAATGTGCATTTGATTCCTCTGATGACTACCAGTTACGACTTCAGTCTTTGTCTCTGTTTATTGCTTCACGTACAAACTCAGTATGACAGTGTCCACTCCATTAATGATTAGCATATAGGACAGCTACTAAGCCCAGGCTCATATAGTCTAGGTGTGTTTCGGGGAGCCAGGCAGCTGGAGGATGATTAGGCTCAGTGAGTGGAGTGCTGGGCAGAGGACGCCCACCGGGGCCCACTGTGGAAGTTCCTTGTACGCACACAAGCGATGATGTGGAGTGAATTGAAGGCGATAAGGTAAATGAGAAGGAGTGCCTTCAACACCATGTAAGTTATATGGTGAGCACTCGGCCCGAGTCTGTCCTCAGCCGTAAAGGAAAAGGTTTTTTTAACCAACTTTATTGAGATATAATTCACTCACTGAAAGTGTACAATACAGTGGTTGTCGTGTACTCACAAAGTTACATAACCACTGCCACAGTCTTAGAACATTGTAGTGCCACCAAAAGAAATCCTTGTAACATTAGCAGTCCTCAAGGAGGGGCATTTTTCACTGGGTAGCCAGGTGTTTGGCCATGTTTCAGTGGAAATATACAAAAAAGGGTAGGTATATCCAACAGATGGCAAAGAAAGCATGTTATAAGTGCTCATCCTCTATCAGGAAGTGGGTGGAGCACCATCCAGACCACAGAGAGAGAGGCCCTGGACAGGAGGGAATGGTGGGGCCTCTTCTGTGCTGGGAGAGTCAAGGGTCAGTGTGGCGGGAAGGGCTGTGTGAGTCTGTCCGAATGAGGTAGCGAGCAGCAAGATTATCTTTCTATGGGTTTGTGCTAAGGATGAGGGTCTATGTATTTGTAGAAATATCTGACACAGTGATGGATGCTTCATAGGTGTTGCTTAATGATAGTTATTCCTGTTTTTTAAATTAATTTTATTGAGAAACAAATGAGACAGTTTCAAAACAGATTAGTAGGACAATTTCAATAATTAATACATTGCATATTGTTGTTTTCATAGTGTCTATTCATAGTATAATGATGCAGACATGATATCCTGTCCAAACACTATTAGTACAAATCTTCTCATTGAATTAAGAGAAAGTAGCTGTATATCTATCCTATTTTGTATATACAGATACAAGTGGTCCTTCCTTTGTATCCCCCTTTTTGGTTTAGTTTTGTTAGAGATTGGTATTCCATTGCCATTTAAATATTGTAGGTGTGTGAATTCAGCAAAATAATCCAATATAATAGTTCATAATAGCAGTGTGTTATCTGTAGGACTGGCAATGTCAGAAGTTATTGACTTGAGCCTTTTACAGTGCAGCATATTAATATGGCTTTACTTTTTATACCTCATTGTTTTTCCTTGTTTTCAACAGCAAAATAAAGTAGGAAAAACTCAGAAAGGGGGAGGCAGGGGGAGAGGGACAGGGAAAGAGATGGGGAGAGGGAGAGGGAGAAGGAGGGAGAGGAGAGAATGAGAAGGAGGGAGGGAGAGAGAAGAAAAGAGGCAAAGGGGCATAGGCTGCCACAGGCAGCATTTTGCCATTGACAAATGGTAGAATGTATAACAAAAAGACTGAGGTTGAAAGAATGGCCACTAAATCTGGCAAATGTTGCTGAAACCTGAATTGAGTAGATAAGGAAGGCCAGAAGGGGCAAATGAACTGGGAGAGCTTACTCTCTCATTCATTTATTCAACAATACTCTATTTGTTTAAAGTGGTAAGAATACAGAGCTGAGTAAGTCAGTCAAGTCCATTCCTCATGGAGCTCATTTCTGGGCAGGCACAGAGAGTGCAGAGTGCTGTTTCAGTGATGGCCAGGCGCTGTCCAGCAAGTAAGGCAGGTGGGTCGGTGTGCATGCAAGTGACTTGGTGGTAGGGAGCTGTTAGCAGTCGGATTGCCGCTGTCCTCCCAAACTCTTTCCATCAAAACCCTGGCTAACAGTGGGTTGCACAGGGCCTGGGGGCAGCTCCTGCTGCCACGCTGTGTCCATTGCCCAGTGTCCAGCCTCCGAGTCCAGCCCTGCCCAGCCCTCCTGCCCGAGCTAAAGCTTGCAGCCCCCATGTCTCCCAGCCACACCTGTTTCCTTTAGCCTTGTTTCAGTAAGGTGCTTTCCGGTCCCTACCATCAGTGCATTTGTCCATGTGCTTGATACTAGCTCTTCAAAATCACACCGTCCTACCAAGACAGATGCTTCTAGAGCATGAAGAGCAGGCCGCTTTGCTCAGTAACATATGGTGAGTGACTTCTGTTTCCTGCTACGAGCTTAGTTCAGTTTCCAAGCCTTATTCACGTGGCCCCACTCTGAGGCAAGGTGTCTACGTGGAGGTCAGACCTTCACTACTGCTCTTTGGAAGGCCCGAGCCACCCCAGGAAGGGAACGTTTCTAGAGTGAGTGGTTAATGCATATGGCTTAGAAAGTGATCATAAAAATAATCTCCCTATAAAAAGAGCACTAAACGATAGAAATAATAACCATAAGAGGAGGAAGAGTAATCAGAGAAACAGCCTGCAGCACATTAAACTTTTATGTTGTTTTTAATTTTTAGAAAACAGCTGGGTTATCAATATACATGGCTGCATTTACATATATCACATACAAGAAAGATTTTTTCAAGCATATATGTTAATCTTTTTTTCAACTATCCTGTGACCCCTTCTAAAAGGTATTTTCTTATCTTTAGCTGTTTATCTTCACTGACCTCTTTGCTCTTTTTTTAATGTATTTGATACAAGGTCTCACTGCTTAGGTCAGATAGTGATCCTCCTGTTTTCAGCCTCCCCAGTGCTGGGATTACAAACGTGAGCCACCATGCCCAGACTCAGTTGCTGGCTCAGTGTGCCCCAGGGGCGGGGCCGGTGCAGCATGCAGTGCCAGGGACGAAACCCTGGTTCCTCTACTTGCCTGAGCAGCCCTTGGTCCCCTGAGCTATCTTGTCAGCCTTCTTTGTTCTTTTTTATTTATCTCTTTGGTACTATTCTCCTTTTCTCTCTGTACTTATATTTCAATCTACTCTATTTTTCTTGCCTTACATATATTATTTCATATATAAGAGCAAATAAATAAAGACCATTTTCTGTTCATTAATTCTGCTAAGCTTGGCTTGGTTCAGCCATTCCCATTCTTCCAACACTATTTCATTTAATACCATTTCAAAAGAAGCTACAAGCCAAGGAAAGAAGGGGTTTTTTGTTGTTTTTTTATTTTTTTTATTTTTAAGGAAGGATCTACAGGGTGTTCAGGGTCTGACTACTAGATCTGACTTGTAGTGATCCACCTGTTTACAACCTCTCAAGAGCTGGGATTACAGGCACACATCACCACACCCAGTCTCAATTGCCATCTCAGCTTGCCCTGGGGGCAGGGTGGCACAGCAGGACCTGGGATCGAACACCCAACCCCTGCGCCTGCTTGCAGGTGTTTTAATCTGCTGAGCTATTTGACTGGCCCGAGGAAAGTTTTAAAAAGAGAAAAATGAAAGTATTTGAATTTAGGGTCAAATAAAAGTAAGGACAAATATTTTTACTACTAAAGATGACCTCTTAAATCCAAATCCACAAAATAATTGCATGATAATGCCTGTATTTATTTTGTAATTTTTTCCTGTCTCAAAAGCTTAATGTAAGTATTTGCCTTTATTCTATATGCTTATTTATCCTAATAAATGTTATCACCTAGGAATTATACTGTGTTAGGTAGCTTTCAATTGCTGTGATAAACTTGCTTGGAACACTCCAATGGAGGACAGATTCCTTTGGCTTGTGGTTTCGGAGATGCCACTGTGGCTGTTGGACTTCGCTTTCTGGGCCTGTGGTGAGGCAGGGCACCATGATGGGCAGTGTGGTGGCAGGAAGGTAGAAGACGATGGATGGTATGGAAGCCCCAGCCCCCCACCCCCACCTTGAAAGTCTGCGTTGCCTGCCAGAGCCCCGCAGCCCTGCCCTCAGCAGTGGATTAATCCACAGAGGAGGCCCACCATGGGTGCCCCTCCTCTGCTCCACGGTTCTGAGTGGCTACAGTGTTTAGGCCAAGTTTTTGTTTTTCTGTTTTGTTTTGTTTTTGTGACCAGGGATCAAACTTAAAGCCTTGGAATGCTTCACAAATTTGCTTGTCATCCTTGTGCAGGGCCATGCTACTCTTCTCTGTATCGTTCCAATTTTTGTACATGTTCTGCTGAAGCGAACACAAACTTAGAACCTTGGGCTTGCCAGGTGAGTGCTTATTCTATGGAGCTGTCTCCCCGGCCCGTGGTTACAGAGCTTAAACAATAGGAAGCAGCAATAGAGAGACCAGGTAGCAATATTTGATAGAACTCAATTAAAGGTCAAGTAAATGAAGTTTGAAAACTACCAGGTAGAAAATCCATTTTGGGGCTGGAGAGATGGCTCAGTGGTCTAAGGTACCTACTTGGAACAAGCTTGGCAAAGCACAGGGACCGCGGTTCAATCCCCCAGCACCACATGCCAGCCAGCCGCGCCCCCTGGTGTGCTGAGCTGGCCACACACACTCACACACATACACACACACTAAATGCAAAATAAATAAAATAAAATAAAAAAAAAGAAAATCCATTTTGAGAATATACCACATAAAAAAACATGAGTGATAGTCAAAACAGTGTTCTGCTCATGGAACTGAAGTTCATGGAACAGAATAGAGCTTCCCGAAACAGGTACATTTCAAATGGGGAACCACAGTAAAGATGATATTTTAAATCTCTAGCTTATTTTACTCAATATATAATGGTAAGAGAGATAGCTAAATATTTAGAACATAAAGTGACATAGATCCCCAATTTCACATATTAATGTAAAAGAAATTACAGATGTATTATATGCATTTGGGGTAATGATCATAATAATATGAGAAATGAAACTATGGAACTTTGAAAATAACATGATTGAGTAGTTCTCTAATACCGGAATTTATTTTATTTTATTTATTTATTTATTTATTTTTTATTTTTTTATTTTTTTTGGTGGAGCCGGGAATTGAACTCAGGCCCTTGCGCTTGCCAGGAAAGTACTTATTCCACTGAGCCATTTCCCTGGCCCCTGGGATTGACTTTAACAAATGACCTTTTTCAGGCCTTTTAAGTCTAATATCAAAACCAGAAATTACTAACGAAATTGGTATAGTTAGCCATATGAAAATCACAGTTTCCAAATATCCAGAAATAAGACAGCAGCTAAAGTACAGGGTATATAATTCACATACCATACACGAAAAGTGGTTCATCTTTACTAGTAATTAGAGACATTCAATTTAAAACAGTGCTATTTGTGCTTATTAGTTTATCTAAGATTAAAATTAATGAAAATGTCTGATGTTGCTGAGAGTATTTATGGCAATCTCTATCAATATTTATGCTTATGTGCTATTTATTTAGAACTTTAACCAAGACCAAGAATAATTAAAGTATGCAAAAAGTTATTTTTAATTTCTTAGTTTTTACTTCATTCAGAATTCAGAATACCCTTAGTCTCAATTTTTGTTTTCTTATTTTTACCCATTAATCTGTAGAGATTTTTTTCAAACTTGATCAATTTGAGTTTTTTTCTTTATTATTTCCATGATATTTGACAGGGAACAAAAGAGTACTTCTTTCAGTGAAAATATCTTAGATACATGGCTATAAATTGTAATTCTTAATGCTGTTACCTAAGTAAAGGAAAGCTTTTGACCTGAGATTTTTGAAATTTAGATTTTTGGATTCATAGTGGGGAGTGTGGTGTGTGTGTGTGTGTGTGTGTGTGTGTGTGTGTGTGTAATCAGTTACATAAGGGCATTTAGAAACTTAATTTTCAAAGCAATATATGTTTAACTAGAAAAAAATTAAAACAATATAAAAAATACAAAATGAAAGAATGGAAAGCTTCGATGCCAAATGTGGGCTTTGTTAGCTAATGTCAGGATCACATGGTGCCGTCAGCGAGAGCGCTTTCTATTGATGTGGTTTGATACATACAGAAACAAGCCTTTGCCACAGAAATCGTGCCATTGCTTGAAATTGTACCATTAGAGATCATTCATTTGGTTGCAGGCCTTTTTATTTATTTTTTTAATCCTCTACAATCATTCTGCTGTGTGTGGGACTGAAGAAAATGTTTTGATAAAAGTGAGGTATAGATACAGCGCAGAGCCCGGCACAGCCTGTACAGAGCAGTCAGGGCAGACCCTAGGGTGGGCCGGAGGCTGGGCAGGGGGCAGCACCTGGTACTCCTTGTAGAACTCCTTCAATATGAGTAGTATTCTCTGTGCTTTTTCGTCTTGCACTTGGCTATATGTATGTACTATACTTCATGCAGAAGTATAATTTTTCCTCTATTTTCAAGCATATATTCAAGTTACTTTATGTTTATATAAGTTTAAATTTATAAACTTCCTTCTGAAAACAGATCTCAGCTCTATCCACCCATATGCAGAGGGAGGAGGGAGGGGAAGAGCCACAATATTGCACAGTTGAGAGAGAGAGAGAGAGAGAGAGAGAGAGAGAGAGAGAGAGAGAGAGAATATGAGAATCTACATCTATCTATCTGTCTATCTGTCTGTCTATCTATCTATTCCCATTACATGAAGTAAAACCTGAAAATCTCCCGTAAGCTGTGTTTGGTGTCAGCAGATGGTTTTCCCCCTTCTAAGCGTTCCCTTCCAGTTACTGTTTTAGCAACTCATAATCGCTCTGAGGTCTGTTTTCCAAAAAGAAGCAGCAGCAGTGTTTAAGTTTACATGACCCCAGTTTCATGACAGCAGTAGCAAATCAGATAGCTTATCCGAGGAAAAGCATTTTTGGCTTAGGATTCCATCACTCTCTTGGTGGGAGTCAACAGCTCAGTTCGCTCCAGCACTGTTGCAGAACACTGGCTGCAGTGAATCTTTCAGAAAGCATAAACACAATTGGTATTTATAGCATTGTTAACATTTGTTAAATAGTTGGAGGAGTGGTCTGTAAGTCTGTTTAAAGCAGGTAGGGCAGGAGTCTGTTGTGACTGCAGTGAGATTTAAGACTAAGACAACAGTATTACAGTGGTTGTAGCGATGTAGTAAATTAGAAGTATTAAATGCAGAAAGTTTAAGTTTCATGTAACTCTAATCCAAAGTGTTACAGAAACAATCCTGAAGCATCTTTGGCCAGAAGTGTGTTACACAGATTGCATATTTGACACAGTGCAGGGCAGGAACTGTACAATGAAAGCTAAATAAACAGTAAGGATTAGGCAAGTTTTAATTGAAAACCTACATAAAAAAATACCATGAAATTATGCCAGACTTTCTTGTACATCAAAACAATAATAATCAGAGTTTCTTTTAGTCAACTAAATGATCATCAAAGATGTCAGCAAATTTCATCTTGGCATTTTGCTCAATCTTATGCCTATTCCAGACTTACTGGTTAAGTAGGTAAATGAATAGCTAAATTATACATCCAAGAATATGAAGCAAGGCATTTATAATTTTGTGATTTTTATATTTCATCAACTACCTTTACAAATTCATTAGCCATTGTGTTGTTCATGATGTCTATCATGAATCTATTTCTTTCCATCATTATCTTCACTTTACGTGAGTCTTAAATCTAGTAACCGTATTTTGTTCTCTAAGCTTTAAACTACCAGTTTTTTGAAATATTATGATAAAAATGCATAAACTTGGAAAATCTATAAAATTATCTACATACAGATACATAAGTTTTCAGAATAAGGACTGATTTTTTATGAAGGCATAGTTTGTTTAGTATTTAGACTCTGCAGGCCAGAGATAGAGCTCAGTGCACAGTGCCTGCCTGGCAAGCATGAGGTCATGAGTTTGATTCCCGGTACCCAAAAAAGGGCTGAGGAGCTAGCTCAGGGTGAAGGCACTAGGCTCAATCCTTAGCACCACTAAATAAAAGAATTTAGACTCTGCTTTTAGTTTTCATTATTGGTGCAAAGAAACAACATTCTGTTATTACTTGAATCAAGTAAGAATTTCTAAATGTTAATAAACTATTTGATAATAGTAAACTTCTTGTCTTTCTTCTCCCCATTAGTGCCTTTAAAGTCAAGAGCATATTATTTAATTGCTCTCTGTCTCATTTTAGTGGTCTGAATGCTCACAAATATTGTTGAGAAAATAGAGAAAGAGGTTTGTACTAAAGGAATGATTGACGAAATGACTGTATCTTTCACTGATGTTGTTTAGACAAATTTGAATGGTTTAAAGAAATACCCTCCTGAATGCAGTCAATTACTTCTGTTTTATTTCAGTTTTTAAGAACTTTTCACCATTTTCACTGTGTTACTGTGTTTGACATTGGTAACCTCTTTGAAGACATTCCACTTATTTTTCTAGGCAGGCTGCTTTATCTACTCATTTCCAGTAGCCAGAGATGGAGGTGTTTTGAATGAGCACATCAGTGTTCTAGACAGAGATACTGTTTGAAATTATCCATGAACACAGAGCCGTTGAACATTATTGAGTGACATTTGTTTCTGTTGGTTGTGTCTGCTCAGACGAGCTGGTTTCTTTCAGATTGGCAGCTGGGATTATGCTATAGTGGATGGACAGCTCTAAGAGCTGGAGATTGCAGGGACAGGCAGCTGGTCCTCAGTGTAATGCGCCTGGCATGTACGGGCTCAGTTATAGGACACCAGGGAGAGAACTGATGCCTGTTTCTAAAATTATAAAGACTTTATGTTTGCCCTCATATTTTATAATATTATTTGAGTGCATGTACTGGTAAAAATACTCCATTCCTGCACTAATTTTCCCTTTCTCCTGATTTTTATCATTACATTCTTATTTTTAAAATAAACTTTATTATAGTTAGCATGCTGTTGTTTTTCTTTATTTTTTAATGCCTTTTATAACCTCATGGCATGTATATGCTTCTAGTTGTCCACTTCATTTTTTATGCCACTTGGAGGACAACAATATTATTTATTTAGAATTTTATACACCTTTTAAAATATGTAATTAATCCTGAATGATTGCAAAATACTGTGAAAACCAAGGAACCCTTGGAGTCAAATATAAATAGTCAGAAAGTAAGGTCAATATAACAAAATCTGCTTTGTTAAGAAGCTTTATTCATTTAACATTTTTTGGCCAGTTCATCAACTGGAGTTGTTAGGCAATTGTATTTCTGTCTTTACACTAATGGATAAATTTAACTTCATAAAGTTATCAAATATTGGCAGTCTTT